GCTCGATTTTCATGTATTTAAGAATATTCAGCTTTCCTTTCATTGTTGATTTCTAGTTCATACCATCGTGGTGTTAAAAGATACTTGATATAATTTCTGTCTTCTTGAATTTGTTGAGACTTATTTTGTGGCCTACCCTAGAAAAGCTTCCAAGTGAGCTTGAGAATGTGAATTCTGCTGCTGTTGGATAGGATGTTCTTTGTGTGTTTGTTCTGTCCATATGATCTATAGTGTTGTTTAAATCTGCTATTTCCTAATTGATTCTCTGCCAGGGTGATCTATCCATTGTTGAGAGTGGGATATTAAAATCCCCAACTAATATTGTATTGCTGTTTATCTCTCCTTTTAGCTATGTTAGTATTCTATATATGTTGGTGCTCCAAAGTTGTGTGCATAAATATTTACAATTGTTATATCTTCTTGATGAATTGACCTATTTTCATTATATAATGGCCTCCTTTGTCTCTTGTGACCATTTTTTAGTTTAAAATCTATCTTGTCTGATATAAGTATGGCTATCCCTGCTTTTTTTGGTTACCATTTGTTTAGAATGTCTGGTCCATCCCTTTACTTCATTCTATATGTATCCTTAAAGCTAAAGTGGATCTCTTGTAGGCAGCATGTGGTGGGATCTTGTTTTTTATCCATTTAACCATTCTGTTTCTATATTTTTAAAAAATATCTTTATTCATTTCAGAGAACAGGAAAGGAGAGGGAGAGAGAGGGAGAGAGAAACATCAATGATGAGAGAGTCATTGATCGGCTGCCTCCTGCACGTCTCCACTGGGAATCAAACCTATAACCCGGCCATGTGCCCTGACCAGGAATTGAACCACGATCTCCTGGATCAGATTGATGCTCAACTGCTAAGCCAGGCAAGCCAGGCCCATTCTGTTTCTTTTGATTGAAGAATTTAATCTGTTTATGTTTAAAGTAATTATTGATAGGTAATCACTTATAACTGTTGTTTAGTTCTATTGAATTCTTCAGTTACTGTATTCTTTAGTTCTAAAATTTCTGAGTAGTTTTTTTTTTTTTTTTATGGTTTCTATTTCTTTATTGAACTTCTAATTTTGTTCACGCATTGTTTTCCTAATTTTGTTTAGGTGTCTGTCTGTGTTTCATAGTTCACTGAAGTTCTCTTTTAAGAGGATTATTTTGAATTCCTTTTCAGATATTTATTTATTTAGGGTCAGTTATTGGAGCTTTATTAGTTTCTTTTGGTGGTGTAATGTTTACCTATTTCTTTGTGATCCTTGACTCCTTGTGTTGGTATTTGTGCATTTGGTTAAGTGGCCTCCTCACCAAGACTTTACATATTCACTTCTGTAGAGGAAGACCTTCACCAGTCACTGCAGCTTGGGGGTACTGGATAGGTCATTTGGTAGCTTCCCTTGGTAGGCAGGGGTTGTTGTTTTTTTAAACTTATTTTTATCGTTGAAAATATTACACATGTCCCCCTTTTCCCCTCATTGACCCCCTCTGCCCCGCTCCAGCCCCCTCCAGGCTTTCACTTCACTGCTGTCTGTATCCATTTTTATGCATATATACATATAAGTTATTTGGTTAATCTCCCCCACCCCTTCCCTCTGGTATACCTCAGTCTGTTGCATGCTTCTATGTCTCTAGGTCTATTTTGTTCATCAGTTTATTTTGTTCAGTAGATTCCACATATAAGTGAGATTATGTGATACTTGTCTTTCTCTGACTGGCTTATTTCACTTAGCATAATACTCTCCAGGTCCCTCCATGCTGTCTCAAAGAGTAAGAAAGAAGGCTGGGTTTGTTATTGGGGTCTGTAGTTGGGTGAGACCACTGCTCATGCTCTGAGGTTTGGGGAATGCTTCTGGCTAGGCTCTACAGCTGCGTGGATCATATTCAAGCAGAACCACTGGGCAACCATATCCCTGTTTGTGTGGGGCTATTGATTGTGCCCTGCAAGTGAGGTGGGGCCACTAGCTGAGCTCTGCAATCACCTCTGTTTGGGTCCAGTCCTAGGCTATGTTCGCTGGCAGGATGGTACCACTGGTTGAATTCTACAATTGGGCAGATCTATGGACTGGGCTCTGCAGTCGCCCTGATTGTGTGGGATCTCAGATTGTGCTCCACAACCAGATGGTGCCACTGCCTGGACTCTGTGTTTAGGTGGGGCTGAAGGCAGGATTTAGTAGTCAGATGTAGCCTCAGGCTGTGCTCTGGCATCAAGCAGGGCCGCAAACTGCCCTGAAGTTAAGTGGGGCTGCATGCTGGTCTTTGTGATCACCTAAGCCATTGCCTGTGCTCTGCTGATAGGCAAGGTCAGTGTCTGGCTTTTCTGTTGGCTGGGGTGGTAGGTTATGTTGTAGGTAGTGGGAATGGCCCCAGGTGTTACACAGGTTGGGTCACACTGGACCTGGGTTCAGCAACCTCTGTAATTAATTCTGGCTAGGGGAGAATTCAGAGCCAAGACTCAAACTTTTACGGGACATTTATTTATAAAATCACAGAGGTAGAAGTAATTTGTAGAAGAAAGGGGCTTAGGAAACAAGTTATAGAGGTAGAGGAAGGGCCCTTGGAGCTGGGGAGTGAGGAAGGTAATGGTAAGTACCTGGGGGAGGGAGAGGGGGAAGGGAAAGGCTCAGTACTCCTAAGGGTTTTAAGGGTAGAGATCTTAGGGGAAGTCCTGGGGAGAAGATCTCAATAGAATATTCAGCAGCTTTCCAGGTGTGTCCTTTCAGGGTCTAGCTCTCCACTGATTGATCAGTGCCAGGGCAGGGGGTCATTTTCCAATGCAGCTGGTCCTGAGGTCATCTGTGGCATTGCTTGTCTGGTTTTGCAGCTTTTCTGGACATGGAGCTGAAATACAACTAAGGTCTAAATATTATCTCTAGGGAGGAAAGGTCAGGGGGTCTAAACCGCATGACTAGTGATATGCTAGGGGAGAAAAGATCACCCTGGGGGCGAGGTCCCACCCTACATTTGTTCTTTGCTAGGCATCCAAGGTTTTCTACCCTGGTGACCTTCTGTACCTGGTCCGTCATCCTTGCTTTGCTCATGTCTGTCTAACTGCCTACCACAGTTTATGCGCCTAAATGGACAGGGTTACTGGCTGAGCTTCCTGCCTGCAGAAAGCCACGGGTCATGTTCAGCAATTGGGCAGGTTCATAGGCTGGCCTTCTCTGCTTATTAGAGTTGTAGACTGGGCTCCCAGGTTGGGTGGGATGTAGGCTGGGTTCCTGTGTTGCCCAGGGTCACTGTTCAGACTTCCTGGTTAAGTAGGGCCAGAGGCTATGCTTAAGAGTTTGGTGGGGCTACTAGCTTGCCTCCCTGACCAAGCAGGGTTGTAGGATTGGGCTCCAGGGCTGCTTTAGTTCTCTGGCTAGGCCTCCTGGGTTGGCACAACTGGAGGCTATGCTCAGCACTTGGGTGATGCTAGGAGTTTGCTTCCTTCCCTGAGCAGGTTGGTAGAACAGGCCCCACTGCTCATATGGCCCACAGACTGCAGATCCAAATCAGGGAGAACTGTCAACTGAGCTCCCTAGCCAGAGGAGTCACTGGCTCCACTCTGCAGATTGCCAGAGCTTCTGGCTGGGATCTCTGATCGGGTATTGCTGCAGGTAGGAATGCTGTCTGCCAAGACCTGAACCCTGGTTGCTGTAAGCCCCACCCCCTATCCACCTCTATGAAAGCCCTGCAGATTCCTCCAGTGACTCCCATGAGGCAAGACATGAGTGGGCTTCCTTGGGAAGTGTCCCACATGCTGGAGGAGCTGGATGTACACCTCAGGCTCTCTTCCCATTATAGAAACCACAGGCTCGGGGTGGCCTCTTGGTATGGCACTGTGCCAGTGTAGGGGAGGAACAGTGTGGTCAGAGTGAATGTAGTCCTCTTACCCTTCTAGTGTGGGATTTTCACAGTGATGTCTTTTCTATGGATAGTTGCTAACTGGTCTTCCTGTGAGAGGGACCAAAGTTGGCCTATGAAGGAGACCTATGTGGCCATCTTGATGACATCACTCTCCCCTATGTGCTTAGCCTTCAGTAGGTTATGCATTCCTTAATGGACTGATAGATTATATTTTATAATTTTGCCTCTCTGGTGCTTAGCTCCATATTGGGAATGTGGCAGGTGAACAGTAAATGTGGTGCTTCTGTGATCGAAACCTGTCAGAAAATGAAGCATTGTGTTATGAAATAGCTTCTGTGTATGTATTTTCATCTTAAAAAAAATTTTTTTTTTTAATATATCTTTATTGATTTCAGAGAGAGGACAGGAGAGGGAGCAAGCAAGATAGAAACATCAATGATGAGAGAGTCATTGATCGAGCCCACAACCCGGGCATGTGCCCTGACCGGGAATCGAACCCGGATTGCCTGGATCCTAGGTCGATGCTCAACTGCTGAGCCACGCCCGGCCGGGCTGTATTTTCATCTTTTGAAAACACAAATGTTGCTCCTCCATGCATACTTGCATTTGCAATATGTGTTTTTTTCCTCCAAAGTTTTTGTGGTTATTGCTTCGTACTTTTTATGGGTAATAATTCTGAATGGGCTGCTTTGCCTCTGGGATAATTTGATTAGAGGTATGGAAAATGTTACCCTGTAAAGGGTATTGGATTTGTCACAGAATGACATTGAAGAAAAGCCAAGGATAGACAAACTAATAACATGGTAGCCTGGTTATTAAAATTGGACCTTTTGGCATTTTTGTCCACTATTTTTTATTGATATCACTGCCTTCTCCTAAGAGATAAGCATGTGACCAATTTGATGGGTTTAATTTGACAAGGGCAGAAACTAATGCCAGATAAATAAAGTCATAGTGTTTCCAGAATACTATGTTTCTGTCCTCTGAAGTTAGATATCCGTTTTTGATGGAGAAAACATTTATGTAAAGAGGCAAGATTAGCGTCCACTGAAATGAAATGCTCAAGTTGATATCATAAGCTTTAGTGGAACTTATTTGATGTAGTGACTCAGCCTCTGTGAATCTGACTGTGTGTATGTGCTGTGTTTTTACAGGGAATCATCATCTAGGGACCTCCCAGAGACCACAAGAAAACATGGGGAGGAGTAAGTTTCTCTTCGCTTTTAAATAATTTAGACTCTCTCCATATTAATCCACTGTATCCAGGAAATTAGATTTGCAACTCAAAGGGGTTTTTTTTGGTGGATGCCTAAATTGTATTTCTGGTTGGTGTTAGAAAGTTTTTGTCTGAATCAGGCCTCTGTAGAGAAAGACCAACAGACCACATGTTGCTCACAGGCAAGGGTCTTTTTTTTTTCTCTTCTGCTCTTTTCTGTACATCTCCCAGTACAAGGGGAGAAGGCCCTAACTTGATACTATATAGACCTGCCCTAATCCCAGCTTCTTTACAACTCTTAACAAAATTACCCATATGCTTCTAATGGTTTCTAAGTCTTTTTCATAATAACGTAAACAAAAGCAATCATTCTATGCAACCAGTGACAGTATTAAAAAATTTATCTGTGAGGTTGATTTATAAATGGTTTTGATTTCCCCAAAAATGTTAAAGCCTGGCATTAAGAACTATTAGATGAATTCCTTTTGTTCTTTTCCCTTTCTTATAAGGCGACTTAGGGTAACTAATAGACAAATTGAAGATCATTTTATTGTTAATATAAACCAGCCACTAGTGACTTCATAAATAATTCTAATCAATGTAGACTATAAAATCAGATGCTATAAAGGACCTCACAGAGAGTCTTGGTGTGTAGTGAGAAGAGTACTGGATGTGGAGAATCAAAGGCCTGAATTCAAGTTCTACCTCTACTACCTTCACCAAATCCTTGAGCTTACCTAAACTTGTTTGTTCACATCTGAGGTGGGATTAATACATTCTGTGTTTCTAGCCTCAGGAAGTTGAGGTTGGCATAATGTGATAATACATATGATAAGCGTGTTGAGAACTCTATAAAGTACAGTAGAAGAGAGCAGTGGTATCTGCACATTGCTGTCTTTATTGAATAAGTATATCTTCATTGGTTCTGTCTTTTAGTAGTTAAAATGAAGTTATTTGATTAGCAGGGCTGACACTAGAGTTGTGCAAGTGACAGAGAATGCCTCCTCTTTTTTTTTTGTGCTCTAGACATTTTGTTTGCCCCATCTTAGTATGGGCCCTGGTAGGCCCTCAATTAATCATGGAAGATATCTTCCTGAACCTACTGAATCAGATTTTGCCTGTTCTTTATTTTTCCCCCCAGAACTTTCCTTGGAGATTAACGCCAGAAATTCTGGTTCTTTCCCAAACTTCACAAAAGATGCCAATCTCTGATAGTTTAGAAATTTTAAAATATGAATAAATTAAAAAATCTTGTCAGAATTTTGGGACTAATTCATGCCGTGTCCTAACTCCAAGTTAGTTGTCAACAGAAGCTTCCAGAGTAACTCATACTGTTTGGTCCATCCATGTTGTTACAAATGGCAGTATTTCATCCTTTCTTATGGCTGAGTAGTATTCCATTGTGTACATGCACCACATTTTCTTTATCCAGTCATCTATCGCAGGACACTTTGGTTGTTTCCATGTCTTGGCCACCATGAATAATGCTACAATGAATACAGGGGTGCATATATCTTTGCGAATACATGTTTTCGGGTTTTCCAGGTATATACCCAGGAGTAGGATTGCTGGGTCTTATGGTAGCTCTATTCTTAATTTCTTGAGGAATCGCCAGACTTCTTTCCATAGTGGTTGTACCAGTCTACATTCCCAGCAGCAGTGAATGAGGGTTCCCTTTTCGCCACTACCTCTCCAGCACTTATTATTGCTTGTCTTGTTGAACATAGCCACTCTTAACAGGTGTGAGGTGGTATCTCATTGTACTTTTGATTTGCATTTCCCTAACTGCTAGTGAGGTCCGTCCAACATCTTTTCATGTATCTATTGGCTGTTCTTATGTCTTCTTGGGAGAGGTTCAGGGCCTCTGCCCACTTTTTGATTGAGTTGTTTGTTTGGTGTTGAGTTTTATGAGTTCTTTATATATTTTGGAAATCAAACCTTTGTTGGAGCTACTGTTTGCAAATATCATCTCCCATCTGGATGACTCCCTCTTTCTTTGGTTGTCAGTTTCTTTTGCTGTGCAAAAGCTTTTTAGTCTGATACAGTCCCATTCATTTATTTTTGCCTTTATTTCTCTTGCCTTTGAGGTCAAGTTCATAAAATGTTCTCTGCGACCAAGGTCCATTAGTTTGGTACCTATGTTTTCTTCTATGTAACTTATTGTTTCAAGTCTCACATTTTGGTCTTTGATCCATTTTGAGTTAATTTTTGTACATGGCGACAAACTGTAATCCAGTTTCACTCTTTTGCATGTGGCTTTCCAGTTTTCCCAGCACCATTTATTGAAGAGACTATCTTTATTCCATTGTGTGTTTCTGCTTCCTTTGTTGAAAATTATCTGCCCATATACATGTGGTTTTATATCTGGGCTCTCTGTTCTGTTCCACTGATCTGTGTATCTGTTTCTGTATCAGTACCATGCTGTTTTGATTATCATAGCTCTGTAGTATAATTTGAAGTCAGGTAGCATGATACCTCTAGCTTCATTCTTTTTTCTCAAGATTGCTTTGGCTATTCAGGGTCTTTTGTGGTTCCATACAAATTTGATGATTTCTGGTTCTATTTCTTTAAAAAGTGACATTGGTATTTTGATGGGAATTGCATTAAATCTGTACATTGCTTTGGGTAATATGGCCATTTTAACTGTTGATTCTTCTAATCCATGAACATGGGATATTTTTCCATTTTGTTGTATCTTTTTCAGTCTCTTTTAATAATGCTTTGTAGTTTTTAGTATATAGGTCTTTCACGTTCTTTGTTAAGTTTATTCCTAGGTACTTTATTCTTTTCGTTGTAATTTCAAAAGGAATTGTTTTTTAATTTCTTTTTTGAAGTTTTGTTTTTAGTATACAGGAAGGCAATGGATTTTTGGTCCTTGATTTTTTTATCCTGCAACTTTACTATATTTGTTTATTGTTTCTAATAGTTTTTTTGGTGGAGTCTTTAGGGTTTCTTTAGGGGTCTTTAGGACATGCAGAATCATGTCCTCTGTAAAAAGTGACAGTTTTACTTCTTCCTTCCCTATTTAGATGCCTTTAATTTCTTTCTCTTGCCTTATTGCTCTGGCTAGGACTTCCAGAACTATGTTGAGTAAGAGTGGTGAGATTGGACATCCTTGTCTTGTTCCTGATCTTAGAGGAAAAGTTTTCAGTTTTTCACCATTGAGTATGATATTAGCTGAGGGTTTTTCATATATGGTCTTTATTATGTTAAGATGCTTTCCTTCTATTCCTGTTTTATTGAGTGCTTTAATCATAAATGGATGTTGTATCTTATCAAATGCTTTTTCTGCATTTATTGATAAGGTTATATGATTTTTATCCTTTCTTTTGTTAATGTGGTGTATTACTTTGATTTACATGTGTTGAGCTATCCCTGTGCCCCTGGAATGAACCACACTTGATCTTGGTGTATTTTTTTTATGTACTACTGTATTAGATTTGCTAGTATTTTGTTAGGATTTTTGCATCTGTATTCATCAGAGATATTGATCTGTAGCTTTCTTTTTTTGTGTTACTCTCACCAGGTTTTGGCATCAGGGTTATGTTGGCTTAATAAAATGAGTTAGGAAATGCTGCCTCTTCACTGTTTTGGAGGATTTTGAGAAGGATAGGTATCACGTCTTCTTTGAATATTTTGTAGAATTCACTGGTGAAGCCATCTGTTTCTGGACATTTATTATTGGCAGGTTTTTGATGGTTGTTTCAGTTGCCTCACTGATCAGTCTATTTAGATTTTCCAATTCTTTATGATTTAGTCTAGGAAGGTTACATGTTTCTAGGAACATATCCATTTCTTCTAGGTTATTGAATTTGGTAGCATATAGTCTGTCCTAATATTCTAGTATGATCCTTTGTATATCTGTGATGTCTGTGGTGATTTCTCTCTCATTTCTGATTTTGTTTATATGGGTCTTTTCCCTTTTTTCCTTAATGAGTCTAGCCAGGGGTTTGTCAATTTTATTAATCTTTTCACAGAACCAGTTCTTCGTTTTATTAATTTTTTGTATAGTCTTTTTGTTCTCTGTTTCATTCAGTTCTGCTCTAATTTGTATTAGTTCCTTTCTTCTGCTGACTGTGGGTTGCTTTTATTCTTCTTTTCCTAGTTCTTTAAGATGTGATGTTAGGTTGTTTACGTGGGATTTCTCTTGTTTCCTGAGATAGGCCTGTAATGATATAAACTTCCCTCTTGTTACTGCTTTTGCTGCATCCCAGAAGTTTTGATATGTTGTATTGTCATTCTCACTTGCCTCTGTATATCTTTTGATTTCATCTTTTGATTTCTTCTTTGACCCGGTCATTTTTTAGTAATATGTTGTTGAATCTCCTTGTATTTGTGGGTTTCTTTACTTCCTTTTTGCAGTCGATTTCTAATTTCAATGCATCATGGTCAGAGAATATGTTTGGTATAATTTCAGTCTTCTGGAATTTGTTGACACTAGTTCTGTGACCCAACATATGGTCTGTCCTTGAGAATGTTGCATGTGCACTGGAGAAGAATGTATAATCTGATGTTTTGGGATGAAAGGCTATTTAAATGTCAATTATGTCCATTTGGTCTAGCGTTTCATTTAAGGCCGATATTTCTTTATTGATTTTCTGTTTGGTAGACCTGTCCAGAGCTGTTAATGGAGTATTAATGTCCCAAACTATGATTGTGTTTTGATCTGTTTCTCCCTTTAGTTCTGTGAGTAGTTGCTTTATATATTTCGGTGCTCTGTGATTGGGTACATAAACATTAAAAACTATTATGTTTTCTTGATGTAGTGTCCCCTTTATCATTTTAAAGTGTCCCTCTTTGTCTCATTATCTTTTTTGTCTTGAAATCTGTTTTGTCAGATAAAAGTGTGGCTACACCTGCTTTTTGGTAGATGTAATTTCCTTCAAGAATCATTTTCTACCCTTTTACTTTGAATCTACCTTTGTGTTTGCAGCTTAGATGTGTCTCTTGTAGGCATTGTATGGTTGGGTTTTATTTTTTGATCTACTC